CTTGTTCGATCATGTCAGTTGCATTCTAGTACTGCTCGTGATGAGATATAGATTTATTTTAGATAGGTTAGTCATAAGTTATCCGATGCTGGCTGGCTTATTGAAGATGAATCGTCAAAGACTATTGTTCATGAATAAAGATTTTTAAAAATGCTTTGTTTGATATATTCTTTAAATCAAATACTTCTGAGTGTAGATAAAGGCAAGACTGTAAGTCACAAGTATTATGCTGAAAATTCTCCAAAATCTTTTATTAATGAAATATGGAAACAAACAGAGACATCAGGTTCAAAATGTACAAAATTGCTTGACGGTCATCGTTGACTTCATACTCATCTAATTTTATTAATTGCATGATAGAAGAAGGCATCAGTATAATATCATATCTATCATATTCGCCAGGCCTGATACTATGTAACTTTTCGCTAACTAATTCTACCAAATGTAGTTTAATTGATTATATAAATGAAACATGATAAGCTCATGCGATATCTAAGATATCTAAAATTTTTTTCGAAACAAACTTTTAACAAATTGTTTGAAAGAATCGAATTTGGTATAAATAATCATGGCAACTGTCTTCAATATTTGATAAAATAAAATTAAAGATATCGCCTTATTTTTATATTTTTATATAATGTTGCCAGAAATTTTGGTCAGACCTAAGTATGATCGAATTACATGATTTATCTCCTGATGAATCACTTGATAGGACAGCTTCGTCGAATACTAATCATTCATCTACAATTATTTCTTCATCTCTCAGTCATTGCTTATCGAGTAATATTAAATATAATTTGTCAAATATAAAAATGTTTTTAAAAGAACAACTAGAAAAATACGTGCTTGTCGACAATCATAAAGTGAATCATTCAAAACCATCTTATATAGACTTAAGTTTTGTTTTTGTAAAAATTGATTATTCATAAAAGGAATGCATCATTAAAAATAAAGTATTTGGTAAATAAAAAGTTTCTTCGGGTTACACGGGGGCGGGTCGGGGCCCGTCACTAAATTGGCGGGGCGGGCGGGGCGGGCGGGGCGGTCCAAGAAGCTGCCTGTACGGGGTACGGGCGGGGCGGGTATAGATTTGCCGGGGCACAGGCGGGGCGGGGATTCTCATTAAGAAAATCTACGGGGTTCGGACGGGACGGGTTTGTGAATTCTACGGAGCGGGCCCCGCGGGGCATGAAAAAGCAATGTCCCGTGCATCTCTGGTACGAAGTAACAATCGCCACAAGATTCGACGAGCTTCTGAATCAGATGTAGTATTATTTTGTATCGACCATTGCTCTAAAAGATTGTACACTATCAACAAGCTTTTGTGGCATTCTTTTTTCCAATGAATGTAACTATTTTTCCGCTGTTCAGGGTTGAGTCCACGTAACACTGCAGGACAGTAGGTATTTGGATCCAAGTCACGACGTAAAAACTCTTGTTCATGTCGTTCCTCCAATCTTTTAGCTTCTTCATCAAAAACATCTATAAGTGCTTTCATTTCTTCTTTCCATATGTTCTCCTTAAATTCCTCCGACTCAGATGCTACCAGCAGTTGCCTGAAACCAGTCATTTTTTTATTACGAAAAAGATCCCACTAACTTACTGTTACCTATTGTTGGAAAACCTTGCGTTTTCTATTGATTTCTTGCAGTCGATGAACGTCGATAACGTACCATGTTTTGAACCCCCAGGTCTAATAATTTGATGCTTCACAATAGCGCGGCGGCACAAAAATGGAAAACAAGAACTCTCACCTGATTGTATGAAACGGGGCGATTGTTTGTGCATTTGGCAAATCTTTGATTGACCGTAAGTGTTCAATATTTACTGAAGAATCTAATTCAACGCCTAAGTCGATGCAGTTGAATATAATACGAGACATCGAATTCTAGGAAATAAAAGCGAAAAACAGTATTTCAGTTACTTTGAAGCGGCACCAAGTACTGTCAAGTAGGTTCAAAATAATGTAGAGCATCGTGAAGCATTGTCTTGAATGATCTGGGTGTGGATATGAGGTGATCGTGTGGTTGAGGGTGTGGGTGTGGGTGGGTGTGGGTGTGGGTGTGAGTGTGGGTGTGGGTGTGTGTGTGGGTCGGTGTAGGTGTGGGGTGTGGGTGTGGGTGTGGGTGTGGGTGTGGGTGTAGATAAAGCAAAAAAAAGACACCCAAATCCATACACCAACGCCCACACCCACACTTACACCTCCACCCACCCACCCACCCTCTAATCGAAGTATTCTGATTGCTCGATTCAAGTATGTATTAACTAAACATGATGCATCGGATTGGATACAGAAAGGAATGCAAAATGATCACTTCACTCAAGTCAATCATGAATATCAATTGCATGGTGGTCGCTCACTTCGGCATATGACAGTTCGTCCCTTACTATTCGTCCGATTTTTTTTGTCCTAAATACTTTTTGTCCTGTTCCATTTTGTCCTTGCAGAATTCGTCCTACAAAAAGTTTGTCCTATTACATTTGGTCATGTTACTATATGTCCCAATTTTTTTGTCCTTTTACATCTCGTCCAAATTTACTATTTTCTCACATATTTTATCGTGTAATTTTTTGAAGGCCAATTTTCATAGGAATTGAAAAAATATTATATGTGAATGAATGGCTATCGTTGTATTTAATAAATCATTGTGATTTTCAAAGACGAATAGAAAATAGATAAATGTCCTCTATCTATTCTATGTATAAATCTATATTATTTCTTTGTTATTTGTTCATTTGTACAATTAGGTATTACTGTTTGAAAAGAATTCAGGTTATAGTCAAATAATGAATCAAATTGAAGTGTTGACAAGTTCTCGAGGAAATCCGATGTTATGCTATTCAGGTTATTTATACACTCATCATAGTATGACAGAGAAAAAACGTGTATTTCGTTGTGAAGATCGAAATTGTAGAAGTAAGAAAAAAATAAGTTAAGTATAACGTCTGGATTACCTTTCATGTATTTTTATAGGTCGTTGTCATACGAATACTCTGATGGAAGTGTTTGTCAAAGAACCATCGGAGCATAGTCATGCACCTGATCCAGATCGTGTTCATGTTATTCAATTGAAACATGAAATTAAAGCCCGTGGTTCATCATCGGATGAAGCGACCAGCATTATATTATTTGATGCATTACGTAGTATTCCACTGAATGCAGTTCCTGGCTTACCAACGAACAATGCATTAATGCAAACAATTCGTCATCAACGACAACCAGTACAACTTGATGAAAATTGTCAATTGCCGTTTGTATTTCGACTAACTGATCGTGGAGAGAATTTCGTCTTATTTGAAGATCAATCTATGCTGATATTTACGTGTGATAAAAATTTAACAACTTTAAAGCAATGTAAACATTGGTTTATGGATGGTACTTTCAGTGTATGTATGTCGCTTTAACTCTTTTCTATATACATCTCGCTCATGTAGATATGTCCAAAAAGCCACTACCAATTATTTACTGTTCATGGCATGTTTTTTCTTCAAATTATTCCTCTGGTGTACGTCCTGCTTATTGGCAAAGCTGCTGATGATTACAATGATTTTTTCGATCAGTTACTGTTGCAGCATGATTTTGAACCCGAATCTATTTTAGGAGATTATGAGAGTGCAATATTGAAGTCAATCAAAACAAAATTTCCAAATGTTAATTCGATAGGTAATTTTTCATAGGATTTTTTTGTTTACAAAAAGCTATTTCCTCTATAAAATAGGATGTCTATTTCATATGGGTCAATGCTTATGGCGAGAATTGCAAACTTCAGGCTTTCAGAATAAATACATCACCAATGATAAATTTCGAATGAACGTAAAGAAGCTAATGGCACTTGTCTTTGTACCTGTTTCGGATGTGGTTAAAGCCTATGCAGTAATTGTTGATGATTTTGAAGAAGAAGATTATCTATTACTTGATTATTTTGAACGAGTTTGGGTTGGACAAAAGCTACGTCGAGGTTTGTGTTTGTTTAAATGTATTTATTTGATGCTTTTGATAATTCATAATCCTTATTTAGGTATTAAACGTGGTCAACCATAATTCAGTTTGCAGCTTTGGAATATGTACGAAAGGGTTATTCATGATTTACCAAGCAGAGATGCACGGTCCACGGGGTTCACCCCGCGGGCCCCGCGGGGCCACGTGGCGACGGGCGGGCGGGGAAGAAAAATTTAATTAAATACGGGGTTAACGGGACACGGGTATTTTCCGGCCCACGGGCGGGCGGGGCGGGGAATAATTTTTTTAAAAAATACGGGTCTGGGGCGGGGCGGGTATGAAAGTCACGGGTTCGGGCGGGTAATCATTTTTTTTCGGGTGTGATGAAGGACCGTCAAAATTTATCAAGAGATGTCGTTAGTGTAGGTATGTAGTACAAAGTACATATTGATTGGTTCATTACTTTCATCCTATTATATACAAGCTTGTCTACCATTTGCTTCTTTCTTTCTTTATCGTATGTCATACGTAACTTCTACTATCAATTTATATTAAGTGAATAGCTGAACTAAAACTTATTTTATATTTAGAATTATCGTTTGAATTTTTTTGTGAATTACTACTTAGGTCTGACCAAAAGTTCTGACAACATTAAATAAAAATATAAAGATACGGAGGTATCTTTAATTTTATTTTATCAAATTTTGAGGACAGTTGCCATGATTATTAATACCAAGTTTGATCCTTTCCAACGATTGGTTAAAATTTTTTTCAAGCTTTTTCGAAAAAATTTTTAGGTATCATAGATACTGCATGAGCTAATCATATTTCATTTATTGTGAAATGTTAGCAAAATCTTGTTCGATCATGTCAGTTGCATTCTAGTACTGCTCGTGATGAGATATAGATTTATTTTAGATAGGTTAGTCATAAGTTATCCGATGCTGGCTGGCTTATTGAAGATGAATCGTCAAAGACTATTGTTCATGAATAAAGATTTTTAAAAATGCTTTGTTTGATATATTCTTTAAATCAAATACTTCTGAGTGTAGATAAAGGCAAGACTGTAAGTCACAAGTATTATGCTGAAAATTCTCCAAAATCTTTTATTAATGAAATATGGAAACAAACAGAGACATCAGGTTCAAAATGTACAAAATTGCTTGACGGTCATCGTTGACTTCATACTCATCTAATTTTATTAATTGCATGATAGAAGAAGGCATCAGTATAATATCATATCTATCATATTCGCCAGGCCTGATACTATGTAACTTTTCGCTAACTAATTCTACCAAATGTAGTTTAATTGATTATATAAATGAAACATGATAAGCTCATGCGATATCTAAGATATCTAAAA